CTTACTGAAGACAGGTGCCAGATCGTGGTAGTCAGGAGGTACAGAGGATAAATCAGGCGGATCAGCTTCCTGACGACTGGCTGGGGAGTGAATAAAAGGAGCTGCAGAACGAAGACATGAGACATGGCAGGAGGCAGACCAAGACTCAATGTGTTTCTTTGCCCAATTGATGTGAGGGTTGTGACGCTCCAGCCACTCATACCCGAGAACTAGAGGTGAACAGGCAGATGGAAAAACAAAATATTATACAGTTTCTCTGTGGTTACCAGAGATTAGAAGTTTGAGTGGCTGAGTCTGATGAGTAACTTGCGGTAATCTCTTCCCATTAAGGGCTGAAACTCTGAGAGGGCTTTTCAACGGAGTAGTCCTAATGTTTAGTTGTTGAACCAGGTTTGAGTCAATTAAATTTCTCAATGAAGGCGGATAAGGTGAGAGATTGATCCGAGGCAAAGAGAGTAGCAGGTAACAGCAGATGAGGAGACTTTTCAGATTGTAGATGGTCCGCCAGACTCCTCATTTCCTCTGGTGGACCCCGGCTTTTACCTTAGCTGGGCAGGTAGAAACGAAGTGACCGAGTTCACCACAGTACATGCACAGATTCCCCTTAAATCTTCTTTGCCTTTCCTCTGTAGTGAGTCTGGTGTGACCGATTTGCATAGGCTCGACTTCGGAAACCTCTGTGGATGGAGAGAAGTGATGAGTTTTAGAAGCAGAAACAGAAGCCGGCTGATTTCGGCTCCTTGATCTGGAATCAGGTTCAGAGGACAAAGAACAAACAGATGTGCTGTTAAAGTTAGTTGCAGGGGCAGATACAGAGCAAACGTGGCTTCTTGCTTTTGATTTGAGTCTGGCTCGAAGCCTTTTATCCAGACGGATGGTTAATTTGATCAAATCCTCCAAGGTTGTTGGTTCATCTATAGTAGCCAGTTCATCCTTAATTGTTTCATCTAAAGCCTTGAAATAAGCGCTTTTAAGCGCGGGTTCATTCCATCCCGAAGCAGCGGCTTTGACCCGGAAGTCAATCGAAAAATCGGCTACTGTCCTATTTCCTTGTTTGAAGTCTAATAGACCACGAGATTCTGTACATTGGTCAGTGTCATGGTTGAAAACTAGCAAGAATTCTTTTTAGAATTGTTCGAAGGTGCAGGAAAAACTGGATTCTGAGAAAAATCGGGCCTCTGCCCAATCAAGGGCTTTTCCGGATAATTGAGATATGATAAAGGCTATTTTTCTCTTGTCATTCGGAAAACTGGCCGGAGAGTGTTCAAAAATCAGTTTACATTGAAAAAGGAATCCTTTACACTTACTTGATAAGCCAGAGAATTTTTCCGGAAGTGAGGGGCGGAATTCCGGAAATGACGGACCGGGTTCTGATCTGATAGGTGGATTAGCCTCCGGAACCGGAAGTTGAGCTGGCTCCGCTCTGGGAGTAGCTTCACGGAGATAGCCGGCTAACTCCTGCAAAGTTTGATTTGTTTGATCAAGACGGATGTTAAACTGACGGAGAGAGGCCTTGGATGAGCGCTCCTTGCTGATCCAATACCCTCTGGAGTGTGTCTGCTGGGTTAACTTGTTGGCCAGAGTGTTCTGTCATGTTTGTCTTCAGGGATCTAACCCACATGCAGAACACTCAGAGGCCGGGAAAAAAGTTTACAATGTTTATTTGAACAGATCACAATAAATGAACAATGGTTCTGGGTTTAATCGGGTCCGGGTCTGGTCACGACTGGTTTCACTGCAGAGAGGGACAGATTGGTTAGCGGTCTTGCAGTGATCTTGCAGGTTATGTGTGTGCAGATAAATACCTGATCAGAGATTGAGCAGAGCGGTAGAAGGGGGGAACCGGGAGGGCCCAGAGGCTGAAGGCAGGCAGAGGGCTAGGCACAGGCAGGGCTGAGTAATTAGTCTTACAGAGCTGGTTCAGAGCTTCTCTCTCAGCTTCTTCTGAGAGCGGGCAGGCAGGTATCAGACTGATTCGGATTTTCAGGGTTTTTCTGAGAACAGACTGCTTGGTTTCACGCTTGAGAAACTCTTCCAGGTTTCAGGTTTTCAGGCAGGTTCTTCCTGAGAAGCAGAGAGGACAAAAACAGATTAGGTTCAGATTCAGGTTTCAGGGGAGTCAGAGATTCAGACAGGCAGGTTGGCTCAGGCTTGCTAACCATAACTGGCAAACACTCTGGCGTCGGAGTGTTGCTCTGCCTCTCTTTAAATGCTGGTCTCCTGATGAGCTCACGAGCCGCAGGTGTGGTATTCAGCTTCAGCTCCAGGAGACCTAGAACACCCTCTGCTGGAGAAAGGTGGACAGACCTCCAGATCCCAACAAAAAGATACTTTGGATCAACCTAGAAAAATGACAGATTTTTTTTACACTTGATTGTTTTACTTTTTCTGAGATTAAATTTATCAGATAAATGAAAGTAAAAATGTAGAATTTATAAGAAATGTTTTTCTTTTTACCTTAAACAAAAAAAAAGACTTAATTCAAAGTAAAGCTATCACTTAAAACATAAAAAGGTTTTATACTTTGTTATAACTTTGTTTTTCAGTTTGAAAAATAGCAACATTTTTTTCTCCATTAAATGTAAGTAAAAATGTACTTTGGAACACAATATTGAAAAAAAAAATATATTGTATCTATTTCAAAGAGTAAATGCATAACTTTGGTTCAACTATATTTATTGAGCACATACACAGGATTTATAATTCATCATAACTTAGAACTGGTCCTTTAGTTTATAAAACTGTAAAAAATAAATAAATAGCAGTATTCTGTTATGGATTTTTAACAAGCTAAAGAACCTGAAATGCCTCAAAATGCTTAAAATCTTCTCCATGTGATATTTAAGATATCTGACTCATTGATATTGATGCCAGCCCATCATAACCATTTCTGTTCAGAAACTGCTTAGACCGCATTAGTTGTAATAGTAACCTCCCTTATGGTGTCACAGGGCTTCCCACACCTATTTTGAATCAGTCAGGTAATGAAGTCACATTCATGTAAGTTACAGCAGTGAAAGAAAAAACCTCCACCGCTGACTTGAAGTAGATATTTACTTGGAAACTAATTGTTGCAGTTTTTATTCCCTGATAAGTGATTTTTTTTTTTATTCCAGGTAAAGTGAAATGATTGGTTTCTGTGAGGGACCGAGCAGCCAACCATGAGAACAAAGTGGTGATTATCAAGACAAATGGGTTTTATTTCCCCAAAGTAACAATAATCCAAACAAGGATTACAGGGCCCTTAAAAGAGGTCATATGAAGAGACTAACTTTGGGGAAAAAAATTAAATAAGGTTAAACATAACAAAACCTCAAAATTACTGCACAAACAAAACTGACCTGAGGCATGGCAAACAAAGGGGACTTAAATACTGGCTGATCAGACCAGACTGACACACAGAGGAAGACGTAGGGAGAACATCTACACAAATTTAACAACAAAATAATCAAACAGTTAGCTTAAGGATCAAACCTAAATTACATTACTAAACAAAATTAGCCAAATGAGCAAATCATAAAAGAAAAAGAAGAAATTATGCGACATATTAAAAATGTGGAGTCTGTGGTCTTCCCCCATAGTGGAACTCCAGATGGTACAACCCAATCAGTCACAGAGTCTGTCAGCCAGAGTCCTATACAGTCCCCCTCCAAAACACCAGAAAAAAACCCACAAACAATATTAAGCATTTGACAAAATTAAATATACAAAAGTTAACCAAATGCGCACACTACAATTGGAACTAATGTCTTCTAAAATTGTCAAAATAAAAATAAATGTGGTAAAAACTGTGTGGTAAAACTTAAAGTGAAAACGTGGCTGTGTGTGGGGTTACTGACCATGTGATCATCACAGTTTAGAAACACAAACACATTTTTTAAGTTGGAACAACATCAAATTTTAAGTTTACAAATGAAGTGGACATTTTCATGTTTTTCAGTGTGATTCAGTAACAGTTTTCTGATAATGAGGATTTTTAAGAACAACAGAGTCTCTAGATCGTCCAAATTGAAGATGTCGGATGCAAAGAAGCTCAGAGAGCAAAGCAGAGGCACATCTGACATGTTGGTTTAAAAACATTCATGTTGCAGTTTAACAAGTTAAAAATTGAGATTTCAATTCATATAGTGGCATCTGGCTGATTTTTTTTAAAGGTTTCTTTATACTTTTATACTTTAAGTAGTTTTTGGAGCACATACTTTTTCACTTTTACTTGAGTAAAGAGGTCAAGTTGATACTTCAAGTAACAGATGTGCGTACTTCGACACCATTGCTCCTGTGTTGTGCCATGTGCCTGTGTAGCAGTTGTTTGGTCTCTCCAATGTAAAGGTCTGTGCATTCTTCACTTCACTGAACGGCGTAACCCACCTTGTCGGTCTTGTTTCTGGGTGTCTTATCTTTGAGGTGAACCTGTTTTTGTCTCAGGGTATTGCTGGCTTTGCTGAGAAAGACAAAAACACGGTTGAGGTTGGCTCGTTGGACATTAAGGTTTAAAACTTGGCCCCAAAGTCAAGTTTTAAAATATCATACATCTCGTTGACTTGCAAGCTGCCAACAGCTGGACTAAGAACCAGTCAGACCGAGAAGGTAAACCAGAAAAGGAAACTCTGCGCACATTCTGACTTCATGTTGCTTCTGCTACAGCAGGATCCAGGTCAACAGGTTGGCCTTATCTTTCATATAATGTCTAAAAAAAAACAACAACCTTGATTTACAGAAATATGTTTTATGAGCATTTAAAAACGAAGAAATCAAAGTTTTCCATTTGAGCCTGTTTCCATGTTTGACCTGTCGGCCCATAAATATCTGCTTTATAGCAAACAAGTGAACAGAAAAGAGATGGATGGTCTTTAAACACTGGGTGGGTTTGGACCTGCAGGTCCTCAGAGACCCGTTTCCTCAGTGGATCCTAAAAAATGTGAGGCAGCAACACTGCAAAAAATGGAAATCTAAAGAAGTTATTTTTTTTCTTCAATTGAACAGGCAAGTAAAACACTTTGCCAATGGAATAAGAAACTTTAAATATAAAATAAATTAAAAAAACTATTGAATTGTCTTCTTTCAAGAGCAGTTTATCTAATTTTCTTATTTTAAGAGTAAAAATATTAATTCCATTTGGAGATCATCTTATTTACCTGCTCAGATTAATTTAATTTAATTTATTTCTAGATGGTTTCTGCAGTGTTCTAGTTCCTATGCTCCTCAGATCCTGGAACAAACCGCCTGGAAACCTAAAGCCAGCATATGAACGATATTCATTTTTGTATCTTGAGTTAACATTTTATTTATTTTTTGTATTTGACACGATTTAATCTCCTTTTTTATCTTCATCTTTGTTGCGTCTTAACAAGTATCTAATGGTTTATTTGGTCTTTGTCTGTCTTGGTTCCTTTCTTTTCCTGTAAATCTCTCTGAATATCCCAGAATATCTAAACATGCTAAACCCTGCTTCATCTACCAGCCTAGACCTTTGAATTTCAACGTGTAAAGATGTTCTATGCACCTCTGTTCATTGTTCTGTAAATACCAGCATCACAGGTTGTTCTGTGATCCAGCAAACTGGGTCCACATGTCTCCTTTAATCCTTGAGCTGAACGAAACAGTCCTGGAAACCAGAATAAACTGTTTAGGAGTTGGTTTGTGTTGCATTCTGAGGAGGTGGAGTCAGGAATCAAACCTAATAATGAACATGACAGAAACATTTCTGGGGTTAACGATCACTTTGTGATGTGTATGTCCTTATTTTTTAGACTCTCTAAATGAGGCGTTGAAGGCCATCAGTGTTAGCACAGAGCTGATTGAAGAAGAGCTAAAGCCTCATCTGGACACGGTGCTGACGGCTCTGCTGGAGAAGAGTGAGTTTCAAGGCTTAATGGGACCAATCAGAAAGGAAACCCCCATCCTTATGCTGCCTTAGATCTTTCTTAAATGATCTTTATCCAGGGTAACTAACGAGGAAAATAACTATATTGTGTCTCAACAGAGAAGGATGCAGCTGTGGAGATTGTCAGAAGTGGGATCCTGCCCACACTGGCCCAGGCCTTACAGGGCAGAGGCAATCTGAGCTGCCAGGTGGCTCTGCTGGTGGCAGAAATGGCACGAGAAGGTACACTGCATCCTGATTGGCTCTTTTCCATCACACATCAGTAAAACAAACTTTATAATGGAGGAGGGGCTCCTGTGCTACCAGAGGGACGGGTTATATAGAAAATCATCATTTTTAAATGACTGTGAAGCATATAAGCAGCTCATCAGTGACGTTTACCAAACTGCAGTTTCCAGTTTTTCCTCACAGTAATAGATTTTTTCCTGGAACAAGTAAACAAAGAATTGGTTTCAGAAATGTTTCAGCTTTTTTCAGTTTTTATTTTACAGATTTGAGCCCCCAAAAAGTTTTTTTTTACTAATTGTATTATTTCTTTAAATCCCATTTTACAGATCTCTGTGTGAGGACCAATAGAAATGCTGTCGCTAATGACTCGTTTCTTTTAATCAGTTTGTAATCTTTTAATACAAACAATTAAAATATAATCTGAAAAACTATTTTAGAAATGATAAATTCCTGTCAAAAAAATATTTTTTTGATGGATTTTTTTTTTGTAAAACGTGTTTTTTTTATTTCAGTAATATTGAAAGCGATTTCTCTCCATACTCTTGCTGTCAATGCATGCAGCAGAGCGTCAGCAGAGTGAAAATAGCTCAGTGTTGTCTGCTTGTGTGTGTTGTAGCTGCTGTGAGAGATCAGTGCATCCAGGCTGGACTGGTGAAGGCTCTCGTTCCTCATCTGAGCAGCAGCGACCAGGAAATGCTGCTGAACACTGGCAGGGCCATCGGCCGCATCTGCTTCGACAACAGTGAGTGGTTCTGACAGCACAGGGATGGAGTCTAATGCTCACAGAGTGACAGCTCCACTGTTTACTCAGAAACAGAATATTGTTTTATTATTTCTAAATAAAGTTCTAACCAATTCAGAATTTTATTTTTACAGAAATAAGAAATAAGGGCAGTTTTTTTATTAAACATAGTATAAAAAAGGTACAATGTAATATAAGAGAGAAATACTAACAACTGAAAGAAAAGCTTTTCATAGAGAAGAAACTCACAGTTTATATGAGATATATAGTAAGTTAATAGTTGCTTTCTAAAAACAAAAATGCTCTGATTTATTATGCTATTCTTGAACATCTTTGTTGTCTAACTTTCTCTGCAGCACATCAACAGGACCAGTTAGTCCAGAGTGGCGTAATTCCCAGATTAGTGTCCATAATGAAGGAATACCCTGATAACGACCCCCTCGTCAACGTCTGCCTGCTGGCTCTCTGTAACCTGGCTGATTTAGGTACAAACCTCGTTGCTTGTTGCTCATTGGACGACATATTCAGGAAATAACCACAGTTTGACTCAGAGAATCTGATTGCATGTATGATTTACAAGGTGAAGTTAAGAAAGGAGTTCTTAGTGACATGCCCGTGTAAACTCTCAGTCCTCTGGCTCATCGCTGTGAGCCCTCTGTAAAGTCTGTAAAATTAGGAGCAATATTTATGTTTATCTAGCATGTTTTTTGTTTTATATATATATATATATATTATTTTTTATTATGAAACAATAAAATTAACTAAAAGAAAATAAAAATTTAGCGTGTTTTAAGAAAAAAAAATAAGGGTGTTATTTTTTCCATCTCGTTTTTTTCCCGCTATTTCATTCATTATTTAATTCATTCATTTATAAAGATCAAAGTTCCAAAAATGTAAATATTTGTTTAACAAGTTAACAAACAAGTTCCATCCGGTTTAATGAAAAACAGGTTTTTAATGAGCGCAGAGATGGAACCGAGTGCGAGGTAAATGGGTTGAGCGCGTGTATGGTTTTGAGCATGTGTGTGTGAAATCTAAATGCAGAACACCTGCCTGCATGCTCAAACACATGGCACAATCCTTATGGCATAAATACCTACAGTACCTACAGACATCCTGACGTAATGTGACCTACAGACTACCTCACAAATAGTGCTTCATAGAGTGGCTCTCCAGGGCTTAGATGCTGCATCTAAACCTTATGTCACAGTGTACTGTAGTAGATAGAATAAGATATGTGTGAAGTTACTACCACTGAGCTTTAACTCAGAGACAATGTGTTGTCACTGTCTATCGCTACAATGGAGGACTTTAGGTTTGGCCACCAGAATGACAGTACCTTCCTGAATGCGTTGGTTGGAGTCTAAAGTCTGGAGGAGGGAAGGTTACAGCGGGGGTTTTCTCACAGGGTTTGGTCAGCCTTCAGGGATAGCTCCTTAAGTTCACCAAAAAATTGAAGTATATAAAGACATGAATTGGAAAATTCGGACAAGTAACTAGAGAGAGGCATGAAGACAGTCCTAAGGTTTATGAAGTTTCTAAAATAAAGCAGAAACTTTGGACCATATCATCTTGGTCTCTTCTCATGTTGGTGTTTGTCTTCAGATGTATTTCTAAAGAAATGATCAATAATCATTATTAACTCCCACCTAAATCCTTTAGCAGGCCTTCACCAAAAGCTGTCATAGCTACAAAGGATTGGTACATATTAATACCAGTGTATTTAATTTCTGACATTTTTGAATAGCACACCAGGTTGGAATCCAGATTGCTCATTAATGACTAGCTTAAGTCTGCCTGTGGCATGTGAAAACTTATATCCCACCATATCTACCACATCCTTGAATTCTATTCCTGTATCTTCTTGGTTAAACTGTGCATTACTGGTGAGGATAGGGTTTACAGCCCTCTGACAGTAATTATAGAGCCTTGTTTTTACAGACAGTGCACGGCAGGCCCTGGTGGATCAGGATGTGGCTGATACACTGATCTTTCAGCTAAAACGGGCTCCTGATGCAGAGCGGCGGCATGTCATCTTGGAAATACTGGGCTCACTGGGTGAAAGTGGTAAGATACGCCAAACACAAAAGTTAGGAAAAGTTAGGTAGCCGTGGATTTTGACACAGTCCATGCTTGAATCTCAGTGCTGCATTTGATACAGTTGACCATAATATTCTTTTAGAAAGACTTGAATATTTTGTTGGAATTAAAGGAACAGCAATAGACTGGTTTAAATCTTATCTTTCTGATCAATTTCAGTTTGTTCACATCTTCCTCATGCTCAAGCGTTACCTGTGGAGTACCACAGGGATCAGTGCTAGGACCAATTCTCTTTACTTTATACATGCTCCCAATTGGTAGAGTTATTAGACAGCATGGGATTAATTTCCACTGTTATGCTGATGATACCCAGCTATATCTGTCTATAATCCAGATGAAGCTAACCCATTACATAGATTACAGGCATGTCTGAAGACATAAAAACCTGGATGACTCTTAACTTTCTCCTTCTGAATGCAGACAAAACAGAAGTTATAGTCTTTGGACCAGAGTCTCTGAAAAAGAAGCTGATTAGCCAGTCACTTCATTTGGATGGGATTAAACTGATTTCAGATAATAAAGTAAAAAATCTTGGTGTTATTTTTAATCAGGACCTGTCATTTAAATCTCATATCAAAGAGATTTCTAGAATTTCCTTCTTTCATTTGAGGAACATTGCAAAAATTAGAAATCTCCTGTCCAGGGGTGATGCTGAGAAACTAGTCCATGCATTTGTTACTTCAAGGCTGGACTATTGTAATTCTTTACTATCAGGAAGTCCACAAACTGCAGTTAAAAGCCTTCAGCTGATCCAAAATGCTGCAGCCAGAGTTCTGATGAAAATGAAAAAGAGAGATCATATCTCTCCTATCCTGGCTTCTCTTCATTGGCTTCCTGTTAAATCCAGAATAGAATTTAAAATCCTCCTTCTCACATATAAAGCCTTAAATGGCCAAGCTCCATCTGATATCAGAGAGCTGATTGTTCCTTATGTTCCTAACAGAGCACTTCGCTCTCAATCTGCCAGTTTACTAGTGGTTCCTAGAATTTCTAAAAGTAGAATGGGAGGCAGATCTTTTAGTTATCAGGCTCCTCTCCTGTGGAACCAACTACCAGTTTTAGTTTAAGGATGAAATTATAACTTTTCTAACCTTTTTTTATTAGACAAAGGAGATATATTACAGAGACAGACTGTATCATGTCTGTAAAGTGATGACATTTTGGGAATTGCCACTATATAATAAACTGAATTGAATTTGAATTTTAACTATTTGAAAAACAAAAACAAAAAAACAAACGGTGTCTTAAAGTGTGGGAAGAAAAGGAAAACATGGACCACTACTGATGAAGCCATAATGGCTCAGGGTAAAAACCTAACATCAAACTTTATGCTGTGTTTTACCACCAGATGCACTAAAGCTGCAGTTTACAGAGTCGGGCGTACCAGAGGCTTTATCGCTGATGATTCGAGATCTACAAGGACAGTCTGACCCCCATGACCTCTGTAGCATAAAGATCGCCTCCAACCTGATAGTGTCGTTGCTTTTAGGAGGTGAGTGATGATCGGAGAGAAGTGAACGAATCAACTTTGCAGAATATCTGAATAAAATAAATAAATCCTTGATTTAAGTTGCATGAGTCTGGTTTGGAGTATCTGGACTATCTGATGATGAACAATTTACAGAATACTGAGGAATATTTGACTGAGCTGCTATCTAATGGGATACTTTAGAGAAGACAGAATATGAGAGATGATAGCATCAAAAAATTTAATAACAAGGTGATTTATTAAAATATTAAATAAAAAGGCCTAGTTAATGTATTTTGACCTTCCTGGGCAAACATTGTGTCACAATTATTCTGGAAGGATCCTTGCTACTTGCTGGAAATTACATGTATGTGTTGTGTGACATGTTGATTAGTTTCTTTGTATGTGGGGGTTTTCCAGATGAATCTATGCAGAAATGTTTTGGAGAAGGATCAGGCGTGGTCTACCAGGACATTCTGGCCTGGCTGCAGAGCTCTAACACGCAGCTCCAACTCTCAGGAGCCCTTGCTATTGCCAACTTTGCCAGAAATGGTAAGTTTCTTATGTGAGTAAATGCTTCACAAAGTTTTCCAAATAATCACACAGCTTTTACCTTGTTTTACTCGCATAAATTGGTTGGAATTCTGCAGCTGTTTACACAAAACATTTCACAAATGTTGTAAAAACTGGGGGTCCTGAAGCTTGATTTATTTGCTTTTAAACCATTTTGGGGGCGTGTTTATAATCGCGTTCCCAGTGCAAAACCTGGTTGTAAATTTGAACCAATTTGACCAAAAACGACACCCTAAAAAAGAAAGATTGGTCAGAAGTATGGGGAAAGATAACTGTCAAAGAAAGTGTATCTGTCTAAATCTGTAAATATACGTCAAAATATGTGAAAAAAGACATTTAGAAATTATAGTTACAAAATTATAACAATACATATTGTGAAGTTAGGAGGCTGAGGCAGAGGCAAATTTTGCAAAAATACAGATTTATTTGAACTTAGATGGAGAGAAAGGCTCTGACTGGGGCAAGCCCAGCATTTATACCTTACAAAATCCCAACACACACTCTCTCTCCCATGGAACCATCCCACCCCTGCATGAAGAACTTTCTCCCACTCGAACATTGGAGCAAAACAACTTCAGTTCATCAAGGACATACATTTTCCATTAGCCGGATAAACACTTCAGAA